ATAATAAAAAACATGTACAAAAGGACATACAGTGAAAGCAAGTGGCAAATAACAATTTTTGAATCATATATAATCTTGTATTTGAAAGCAGATACCTGCTAAACCTAATGAATTTCTGATACAATTATATGACGTATAACAAACTTAGAAGTAAAAGTAGGCAGTGAAGAAGGAAATGTTTTTGGACAATAGTGGTACCATGTAATAAGCAAGCCATACCTACTTGATGAGTTTACATAGTGATAAAAGGACTTGTTTTTTTTTTAACCTTCCCCCTTTCCATATTTGCACTGCTTCTCAAACAGTACCTCTCTGGCTCCCAACAGCAGCAATATATTTACACATTTGCTTAATCCTACAACATATACAAAATAGTTTCAGAATTCCTACACTCATGACACCGCTAAAAACAAACCTGCAAAGCATTCAAGATTTGTTTGCATTCTTTTTTTGTCTTTATTTTAAGGTATGCAGTCAAATTCCTGTGTTCAAAAGTGCTTGGTTTAGTTCTTCATTTGAAGAATGAGTTATTCATTTGAAATTAGAATAAGGGAATGGTTTAATCATCTTTGCTATGTTTACTAGGTACAGTATTGTGCAGCCTTAAAATTATAGACATGGACGATGTGGGCCCTCCAAAATGTATGTAATGTTATATCAGGGAAAGAAAGGGTGATATGAAGTTAAAGAAACGTTAAAAAAATAATTTTTCCAGAATGCTTACTAGAAATATGTTCAGGAGGTAGGATTACAACTGAAGTTTTGTTTTCAATTTTTTTTTTTTTTAAGATTTTTATTGGGGAATTGGGGGATGGGAACAGCACTGGGGGATTGGGGGAAGGGGAATAGACAAGTTGCTGTCCTTTTGTTCTTCGGTCTAGTTCTGGAGGACGTTGCTTCCCTGGCCCAAGTTGGCACCATCATTGCGCTCTTGCCGGGCGAGGCAGATCAGTCGCCGGCTTCTGAATGGCCGCTCACGCTGGCTGCTGGCAGCTCACGCTGGCTGCTGGCTACAC